CTTGTGTTTATCTGCAACACACGCATTTTGGCCAGGTGGTCTAGAATCTTGCTTCCTAGTGTTGTTTCCAGCTACCAACTGCTTATACTTCTTAGTCCCCACTTGGCTCTGTAATTCCAACAGCTCTTCAAATGACATGTTGGATGTGCCTGTGGAAAGAGGGGTACAAGACACACACAATCCAGCTCAGCATCTCCGGCAGCTGCAATCATCATCTCATTACCATTCCTTAGGTACTGATCTCTTCCAATTCCAGACCAACCATAAGTCTCCGATTCATAGGCTGTAATGGTGCTACACTGATACCTCACTCAACTGTTGCAGCCACCTGGGACCTCATCTTGCTAAGGAGGGCTTATGTGTAAGGCTCGGAGATGGACCCAGTCATAAATTTGTTTTCTTCACCATGTCTTTTAAATCACGCCTTCAAGTTTCCCCACAGGGCCTTTGCCACCCAGTTATCGCTGGTTGCCAGTCTTGATTCATACCCTCAGCATCTCTTAACTTATCCATGTTCTAATCTCCTACCAAGTCTCCCACCCTCCAGACTCACCCTCCTCCTCTTCAGCTTTCAAGAGACATCTAAAATGTAAATATTGCTTACCACCCCACCATGTTTCCATACACTAGAGATCTTGTCACTCCTGAAGTCAAAATTCCTTAAAGGCTTCCATTTTACTCAGAGTAAAAGTCAAAGAAAAGCCTTACAATGGCCTAAAAGTCCCCATGGGAACGGGTCTCCTGTAATGTCTTTAATTTCATCTCTCCTAATCTCCTCTCCCTGGCTCTTCTCTAGTCAGCTAGCCTCCTAACAGTTTTAGTATGCTCCTGCCTCAGTTGCTATTATGCACTTGCTACTGCCTTTGCTTGTAACTGCTGTTGTTGTTAAGTGCCGTTGAGTCGATTCTGACCCATAGTGACCCTGTATAGGGTTTCCGAGGAGCAGCTAGTGAGCTTGAACCGCAGAACTTGCAGTTCAAACGGCTTTGCAGTCTGGCGCATTAACCCACAGCGCCACACCAGGACTTCTTGCTTGTAACACTCCCTCCAAATATACGCATTCTTTCCTTACTCCCTTCAAGCCTTTGCTCAAGTACTACCTTCTCAGAGAAGTATTCTCTGACCTATTTAAAAACTGTCAACACCTCTTTCTGCTTGATGTTTCTTCGTATCGTTTTTATTTTAATCCCTAATAGATTCCAATTCATAGCAACTCAGTATAGGGTTTCCATGGAGTAACTGATGAGTTTGAAACACCGACGTTGTGGTTAGCAGTACAGTGCTTATCCTACACCGCCACACCTGGACTCCCAGTCTTACAAGCTTTTACAATTGAGATACAGTTTATTACTATAAAAGTCACCCTTTTAAAGAATACAATTCAGTCCTTTATCACAATTTAATAATAACTGCCCTTTCTAAAAAGTGAGGAGCCCTGGTGGTACTGTGAGTTAGTCATCAGGCTGCTAACCATTAAATTTGCGGTTCAAATCCACCAGCCGCTCCAGTAAATTTAGTCTAGGACACCACGAGGTGCAGTTCCACTGTTCTTTCTATAGGGTAGCTAGGAGTTGGATTCCACTCAGGTTTGGTGTGCGTTTCTAAAAAGCAAGCTCCAAAGACTTTATCTATTACTTTATCGTCAGTACCTGGGGCAACGACTAAGTGTGCCTGCATATACTAAAACTCAACAAAAATTTATAGACTTTGTCGGCTCACCCTTCTCCAGCATGGTCTTTCCTGACGTTTTCTACTTGCTAAAACACTAGTAGCCCTTTAAGCTGTTGCTCTGGATGCCCTATTAGAGCAAGAACCCTCCCGTTCCTACGCCACATACTGCTTCGTGGGTGCTCCCAATGCCTGCCTCTTTCAGAAAATTTAGCAGTGTTTCCAGGCTCGAAACCCCAGCTAGATCGTGAACTCCTACGAACAGGGCGCAGGCCCCTCACCCTTCCGCAGGTCCCGGGTCGCGGCCCCAGGTTTTAGGCCTCCGCCGCCCTCCCCGCCGCATCGGTGCCGGGAGGAAGACTGGGCTACAGGTCTCGCTCGTGAACCCACACTCGGCATCTGCTCCGAATCGATTGGAAAAAATGGCGCTACTTCCGCTCACGATGGCCTGAGACCCACCTCTTCCGGCGTCGAGGACGAGCTCGGGATGAACCGAGGGCGGGGCTGAGACAGGCTGCGAAGGGCAGCGGGGTCACAGCGGGGTCGTATGGGCGAATGGAGCTGAGAGCTCCAGGGATAAAGTTGCAATCTTTTACCGAGTCACAGGGCTCACAGGACACAAGAGCTAGGCCTGGCTTTGGTGACAGATCGTTTCCCAAAGAGCTTGGTTGTTGTTGTTAAGTACCATGGAGTCGGTTCCGACTCATAGTGACCCTGTACAGGGTTTCCGAGGCTGTAAATCTTCTGGGAGCAGAAAGCCTCATCTTTCTCCTGCGGAACAGCTGGTAATTTCAAACTGCTGACCTTGAGGTTAGCAGCCCGATTCACAACCACTGTGCTACCAGAGCTCCTAGGTTAGAACCCAGAATTTTAGGGATGCCCCTCTTCAGCACCCAGCTCCCATTTCAAATTCCAGACATTCCACAAACTCAGATCACACGTTTTGAGGTTTTAAATTAATTTTTATAAAATCTGAGCTGGCTGAGCTTCAGAGTACATACAGCAACAGCTCAGGCAGGGATGGGATTATCTGCTGGTCCCTGCCTCCCCAAGTGGGGAAGGAGGAGGTTTCAAGCCAACAGCTGCAACTCCACTCAGCTCCCAGTCAATGCTCAGGGCTCAAGCAGGAGAGGGGGTGGAAACAGGAGTGTGGGAATGCTCCTAAGGCTCAGATGGGATGCTGCCAGCTTCTCCCTTCTCCCCATTCCCTTTCCTTCCCTTCTCAGCAGGATCTGGCTGGCCTGGGGCAGAATGGAGGGCCAGGAGCAGTTGGAGAGGAGAGGATGGGTCAGAGCACCAAGGGAAGGGGCCTTTGGCCCCAAAGGGGGAGAGACCTAGGCCTCTGCCCCCACAACTTCCCACTGAGTTCACAGCAAAGAAAACACCTCTAGTACAACTCCATGTGGAGGTATATGGAGTGTTGGGTCCAAAGGGGCAGGCAGGTGAGAGATGGGGCAGGGGCAGTGAATACAACAGCAGGCTCAGGAGGGGAGATGGCAGACACACTTCCTCCTAGCCGTGGGAGGAGATGATGGGGCGACTGATATTGCTGTTGGTGGTCATGGCATTCAGCTCCCACCTAGAAAGGACAAGAGAAAGGGGAACTCCTACCCTCAAGGCCCAAACAGCTTCTTCCAAATACACCAGTCCCCTCAACATTCTTCTCCCTAACAGCCCTATTACATTTAATAATCAGATGCCACCCACCACCAAATCCAATCCCACCCACTCCTCCCCCTCCAAGTCAGTATGGATTTCCTGTTTATGTTTATATACATTCTTGTGTCCAAGCACCATAAATATAGTGCATCTCAACAAACCGCCTAGCTAACCTTGCCTGCTCTGCTCAGCTCCAACCAGGCAGATTCTCCACCTCACACCACCAGGAACTTCCTTTACTGCTCTTAACTAACTCCCATCTTTAAATGAGGTCTGACCAGATCCCTTACCCTCCCTGAAGCTTCCATGATCCATCCCACCACATTCAAATTAACCCATCTCTTTTTGACAATTCTTAAATTTTGCCAAAATTTACCAAGTACCTCCTCAGGCCAAGACCCTCCCCACAGTCCACTTGGTAGGAGGTAATGGTACAAATGTCAATGTTGGGTAAGTCCAGCTTTGTACACTCCATGGCACCATATACCGAACATACTGACCCTTAAGGGTAAAGAGCTGAACTGAACTGATATAAGGTGGGAAGTGTAGTGGGAAGTGTTACCTTAACAGGTAAATAGATACACTTATATACAAAGTTCACTTCTGGTGCTACATTTTGACTTAAGAATGGACTTCAAAGGGAAGCTAAACCAGGGCCATCTTCAATTTGGGAGGAATTTGATCCAGAGCATTCAAAACTTGTCTTTACAACTCAGTTCAAAGATTGAATCAAACCTTCTCATCATATTAACAAATCAACTGCACAGGCTCACATTTCTCAGGAAGTAAGGTTCCTGAGTTTGGCTCTGAAAAACTGGATTTGTATTTTTTTCATATACAGGTATTCCCTACTTTTTGAAGGTTCAATTTACACTACTGGACTTTTATAAAACACCTACATTAGTACCTGTTTTTGCTAACCAAAAGAAACGTAGAGAACATTTTGCTTTTACTAGAAAAAAAACAAAACAAAAAGGCAAAGTGAAACTAGCATTCAACAACATTAAAGAGTACCCCAAGCAGCAAGTGGTGCTGCCGAGTTCCTTCTGGGAAAACGACACTCAGCAGCAAGCCGCCATCACTTTGAACTGTGTCTGCGGACACCATACTAAAATTAGTGTTACCTTAGGTTTTCTGTGTTATTTAGTATGATTCTGGCAGTTATTGTTAGTCTGGGAATGCTCAAAAATTTGTCCCATACAAATGAATAGTAAATGCTTTTTTGCTTTATACCACTTCAGCTGAGGAAAGTTTCATAGGAACATTCTACTCTAAAACAATATGGGAAACTTGTAATTTACCGGTTAGCAGCTTCCTTACATGATGGTTATAACTGCATTTCCTTCCGTCTCCTTCCCCATAAGTACACTGTACAGTAAGCAAAATAAAAACTGCCCAAGCTAACCAGGTCATGCCTATATTGCCCTGCTTGCCCCCAACCAGTCTTTCCTTCCCAACCACAACATGCAGTACCTGATGTCATGGGGCAAACAGGACTGGTCCAAGTTATACTGAATCACGGCCAGTTTGCACAGGGTCTTCAGACTAGGGCCTTTAAGGGAAGAGGGGGACATGGGAAATGGTCAAAGCCAGGAAAGAACTCTGTCCTGGGTGTCACCACTGTAAGAGAGGGACTTCAATGGCAGAAGCACTTTGGGAATGAGTGTACTTACTAAAGTCCAAAATGTGTAAGTCAGAATGATCTATGAGGTCAAATTCATCTCCCAGACCTTCCTCAGGAGATGGACTATAGAGATAAAAAGAGAGTTGGCGGAGGTAGAGACTATCCCTGAGGTCCTCTTGCTTCAATACCTCCCACTCTCATGTTAATCATATATACAGAACCCTCCTGGATTCCTCCTCTCTCGCCTCCTAACCTGGTACCCCCAAAGAGGACAATCTTGTCACCAACAATACAGCAACACTGGCGCCGGCGGGGGCAGGGTCCCTTCCCCTTGGGTTCAATCTTCTTCCAGGTGAAGGACACTAAAGAAAAGTTTATATGGAGGAGAGGAGGTTCAGTGCCCCCACTACTACACCTATTAGGTTCATTTTTTTGCTTTCTCTCCCACTTCAACTGTTCCTTGTAACTCCCCTAAAGGCAGAGCTCCTTACCGGGGTTAAATTTCCAGAGGTCATGGAAATGCCGGTTCAGTCTTGCATTATAGCCACCAAAGATGTATAGCTCCCCATTGTAACCAACTGGAGTTGAGAAGAAAAGCAAGCGTGTGAGGGCAGTGGGTAGAAAAGGGGATTGGGCAGAGATTGGGCAGATACTTACAGGCTGAATGGCTTCGGCGCCCTTCAGGTAGCACTGGAGTGGATGGACAGTCTAGCCAGGCCTCTGTCCTGGTGTCAAAGACGCGAATGCGGTTGCAGTAAATCTCATTGTTAGAATGGAATGGCCCAAAGCGGTCAGCTCGGCCCCCAAAGACATACATGTGACTGCCCAACATGGTGGCTGAATGGAAGTCCCTCCAGCGTGCAGGGTTGCCCTGAACAGGACAGAAGGACCAGGTAGAGAGGAGGATTAGCAGGAAAAGGATGCTGCTCAGTTTCAGCTTCCTGTGACTTCTTCAGTTGAGGGTGGAGATCTGAAGAAAGCACAAACCTTTGTACCAATAAGGGTCCAGGTCATGGTATTCGTATCTAGCTTGTGAATGTCATTGGAAAAACAGTCCGCCTTAGTGGGGAAGAGGAAGGAGCAAAGTGAAAGAATACAAGAAGGGGCCCATGGTCACTCCTTGACCTGCATCCCTCCCTTCACATTCCGCAAACAAGCCAAAACCTCCCATTCCAACCATCTTCCGTTCCCCTCCTTCCTCTTCCCACCCTAAATCTCTAGTTTCTTCCCAGACCTACCAGCTGCTCATAGCCCCCAAATATGTACATGGTCTTGCCCAGGACGCAAGCTGAATGTCCATCCCGGGCACCAGGAACTGCTCCTGACACTCGGGGTGTAGACCACTTGTGAGTATCTGAGGAGATGAGAGTGGTCTAGGTAAGCAACCTAACACTCTCTCCTAAGTTCTGGGGTGTGTACTCCCCAGCCTCCTCTGCCAACCCATACCTTTCCCAGTCCCCCACCCAGGCACCTACTGACAACACAACCTCACAAGACCATACTCACTGACATCAAAGGCATAGAGCACATTGCAGGCCCCTTCGGTGTCATTTCGCCCGCCCCAAAGGAAGACTGTGTCATCTATGAGGACGGTTGAGTGTCCATATCGCATGTAGGGTACCACAGGAGCCTGGCCGCAGGTGGTAGGTCTCACCGGGGGCAGCTTTGTCCAACGCAAGGACACTGTGGGCATAGCTCAGCTCAGGCCTCAGACCCTCCCTCCAACCGGTCCACTTTTTCTCAAATCAGATATTCATTCTTCCCTCGCTCCCCCAGCCACAAGGACCACCGCGGAACCCCATTCAGCCACCTCATTCCCTCCCTGATTAGACATCCAGAGATGGCCCCAGCATTAGCTTACCTGCATTGAAAATGTGCACATCAATCTGGCGCAGTGTCTCATAGTCTTCACCAGAGCAGTAACCCCCGAAGGAGTAGACCCGGTGCCCAACAGCCACTGCGGCATGGTTCACCCTGCGGGGCCCGCCCTCCAGGTGCACTGTCCACCGTAACATCCCCTGGGTCACTGGTTACAGCAACATGCCCCCCCGGCACGGCCTGCTGCCTCTGCTACCTGCACACAAGTCAGGGTCATGGGCTCCCTCAGGCAAAGCCTCTGCCAGACTCACTGTGACTCTTCCCAGGACCAGCCCCAGCCTCCAAGTGTCACCCTGGTGGCCCTTCCTCACCACTCCTCCTTTGCAGGGACACTAGTCAACACCCAGGTGGCTGGCTTTGCCTCAGGGGAGTTACAGAGGTCAGGCAGCTAGTGCTAGCCCTGTGTTCTCCAACAGCAAAGGGTGGGGCAACTCTGACCTGATTGTTTACCAGCTCAGAATCTGCTGATCAAGGACTCAGCGTGATTGCCCCCACCCCCCCAAAGGGCTCCACCTTGTTTCTCCCCTGGCAAAGTCCCCTTCCTGGGCCAGGCATGTTCTTGTCTCTTTGGCTCTGCTCTGCTTACTGCCACCTCTCGAAGAATCTCTGTGCTCTTGAAGGCGGGGATAGGGATCTCAAAATACTCAGAGCTATTAATAGCGCAGTCAACCCCAGACGGCATACAAGCAGCACCGGTGCTTCCAAGCCCAAAAGCTTTTAGGGTTTCAGAGTGGAACAGAACCCCCAGCCCAGGATAGGGGTGGGACTGACATAGAATGGGGACTTCCATGTTACCATGGTTGGTTAGCCCCTCACAGGGAGCTCTGGTAAAGTTGAGCTGCTGTCATCGGGGTCACATAGGGCCCCCCACAGGCACAAGGAGTTCCTTTAAACAGCTGTACTTGGTATGCTGCCAAGATTAGGAGCTTAAGCCAGAAAGGTATGTGTCTGCTGGGGATGAGCCAGGTGAGGAGGCAGGCCTCTCGCAGCCTGCCCCTTCCCTGGACCTGCTATTGTAGTGCTAGAAACCAAGCTGTTCCCAGCAGCTCTTCTCCCACTTGGCTCCCTGAAAAGGGGATGGAGTGGCCATTTGCACTAGAAAGAGAAGATAAAAATGTCCTTAAACAAGAATGAGTACCAGCATGAGAAGTTATGGCCCCTTAAAGACAATCTGCCAACCCAGTAATAATGGCTATATTTGAGGGCTCTGTCAGGCAAATCTTTCTGCAACTTGGTACTGCCCTTGCTGGGGGGAGGCACCTGCTAAGATTTGAGTGGATCATCTGCTCTCTGTTTCAAGCAGTCCTGGCAGCAGGAAGAGGCAGTTGGAACATCAGGTACAGAGAAAGCTCAAATAAGGGAGGCTTCCAACAAGAAAGAGAGGCTATCTTCAGCTAGTTTTCCAGTCCCAACCCCTCACCCCAAGCTTTACCACTCAGCATAACTTGAAATAGCCCCAAAGAAATCTACTCTCTTGCTGCTCACTCCCTCCCTCAAGCCAAAATACCTTGGATCTCAAATCAAGGGGACAGATAGGTTAAAAGGGTTAAGAGTGGATGAGAATCACCGTTCATAGCTTCTGCTCCCCACTGCAAAGAATTTACAAGGGAAGAAATAAGCAATTCTAGCAGAAAGTGGAGAAAATTTTTTAGCTTCTTCTCCAAAAAGGCAAGTCAAGCTCACAGAAAACAAGCCCAGGGTCTCTCAAGGGCTCCTCTTATTTTTGGATCTCTCCATTCTCCATCACTGCCGCATTCTCAACCTTCTTCCGTTTCCTTCGTGCATCTACCCTCCTCCCTGGTCTCCTGTAATTTTCACGCCCCATTTCAGGACCTTCTAGATCTCCTGAGGGCTTTGCAGTTTTCTCATTTCCTTTTCTCCCACTACTCAGCTCCACCCGATAGCCCTCTAGTTTACCCTCCTCCAATTAGAGAAGAAAACAATGTCATTCCTTGGTCTCTTGGGTTAGGGTTATTCCTCCCTGAATCTGATGTTATCCTGGTCCTCTTCCTACTACCCCAGCCTCCCGCACAACATCTTTGCCACCTCATTCATTAAGCTCAGCTCCCCCATTCTTCTCAACCTAGTCGTGCTTCCAACTGCCTACAGTGCCCGCCGCTCTCCTAGTCACCAGATCTCTCCCAGCCTTCTCCCACATTCTTCTCCAGCCCTTTACCCTCATTAACACTCTCCTTTCCCATCATCCACCGCCCCCCCCATCCCCCAGTCCTTCCCCACCACTTCAGCTCTAGGCATGGACGTCGGAGCCCTCCCAAGTCTTAGTCTCCCTCCAAACCATCCTGGGATACCTGCCAGGCCGGGCCGGGGTGGGGCCGCGGGTCCTCGCTCTGCTAGCAGGCTAGAACCCGTTGCGCGCCAACCGACGACTCGGTACCCAACGAGGTAAACACAGCCAGATTCTCTTTTTGCGGCGGACAGCTGTGTGCGCACGTGCAATCGGAGCTAAGTCCCCGAGAACTCCTGGGATTTGTAGTCTACGGATTTCCGGAGGGATGGGAGGGCTTGTAGAGTGAGCTAGGATTTAGAGGAAAGATTCTGCGTGTACACAGATTTGTGTCAAGACCGGGGTCATTGGTCACTGGGTAATGTAGTCCTTTGTTGTCTGGGTAGGGAATGACAGAGGCGGAGCAAAAGGCGGATTGTTCCCGCCATGGCTCGCGCTCGTATCAATCATGATCATGGGGCGGGGCTGGAGGACTTGGAGCCCCAGCACGTCCTGTCCGGCCGGAAGTGAAGGTGTGGGTTCCGCCGCGGACTCCGAGCGGGTGAGGCTAGCGGAGACATCATCCCTGAGAATTCGTGGGGTCGGGTGGGAGACCCCGCAGCCGGGGCCATTTGAGGGGACCTCCTATGCGCTGATGGGCATCTGTCAAGTGGTTCAGAGAGGAAACCGTAGAAGGGAGAAGTGGGCGGGACGCCCTTGTCTAGGGAGCCTTGTTTGGCAAGCCGATGGTCTGGAAGGGGTGTCTTTGGGGATGTGGTGGGGCCTCGGGCTGGGCTGTTTATTTAGGAATTGCTAGAGCAAGGCCGGCTTAAGAGGTGGGGGTCAAGAATGGGTGGCGGCGCGCTGAAGCTAAGCTGGTGGGTTGGAATCCGAAACCTTGGGAGCATGTAAACATTTAATGAATTTAGCAGGAGTTGGACTGGAGGCTAAGGGTGAGCTTAGTTACCTTCGACTCCTGTTCTTCTGCCTTCCGGTTCTTTTCAGCCCCTGCCCCGGATGGCAGCAGTAATTATAGGGGGAGACACCATGGGTCCAGAGCGTATCTTCCCTAATCAGACTGAGGAACTGGGGCCTCACTTGGGCCCCACAGAAGGCACTGGAGATTGGAGCAGTGAGGAACACGAGGAAGAGCAGGAGGAAGCTGGGGCAGGCCCAGCTGGCTACTCTTACCAACCCCTAAACCAAGATCCTGAACAAGAGGAAGTAGAGTTGGCACCTGTGGGAGATGGAGAAGTAGTAGTTGTCGACATCCAGGAGCGGATCCAGGTATGGTTGGGGAGGAAGTGTGCCTGAGCCAGTATAGTTGGGAGTTCTTGAAGGGCTAGCCTGGATCTTCCTTCTCTTTGGCTCCCCAGGCCCTGGGACTGCATTTGCCAGACCCTCCATTAGAAAGTGAAGATGAAGAGGATGAAGGAGCTACAGCATTGGGCAACCACAGCTCAATTCCCATGGACCCAGGTAAAAGAGACCATTCATTCTGGAAGTTAGGGAGGAATGCACTAGCAAGAGTCAGGAAGAAGGCCTTGTTCCAAAAAAGGGCAGTTTGTAATCTAACATTTTGTAGACCCCAGAATCTTACGAGATATTTTACTAGACTTGAGGGAAAGACAAGCTTGCCTAGAAGTAAGATGAATTTCATGGCCTCCTGCCCAAGGGTTCTGGGCTGATTCCAGGAGTGGGGAGAACAACTTCATTATTTCTATTCCCTCTTGGCTGTGGTTTCAGAACATGTAGAGCTGGTGAAAAGGACAATGGCTGGAATAAGCCTGCCTGCGCCAGGGGTTCCTGCCTGGGCTCGGGAGATCTCAGATGCTCAGTGGGAAGATGTGGTACAGAAGGCCCTCCAAGCCCGGCAGACATCTCCAGCCTGGAAGTGACAATGCTGAGAGCTGCCTTCTTACCCTGTATTCCAGGCCAGAACCAGCACAGGACTGAACACATCCCTGGTTTTAATGTCCATCTTCCCCCATCTCCCTTTCCACATCAAGGCAAATCAGACTTCTTCTCAGACCTACTTTATTCAGTTCTGTACATAAGGGGACATTGGCCCAAGCCCAACCCACCTAAGCATGTATCACTCTATGGAGAATAAAGCACCCTATGTACACAGCCAAAGGTGCACTGCTGTGCCCAGAACCCAGGTCCAGCCCTCTTCAGCCCCTTGCCCCCTACAAGGTGCCTGAGAGGGGCAAGTGAGGGCCTGCCCAGCATCAGCACAAACAAGAAAATAAATAGGTGTTGGAGGAGCCATGCTTGGGGCACTGCTCCCTGCTTCCTTCCAGCTTTTTCCAAGAGCCACTGGAAAGCAGTCAGCCTCAGGGTGGTCCCATCCATGTCTGTGATCCTGGGACTGCTGCTCACCAGAGGGGGCAGACGGTATGTAGGGGTGTGCTCATTCCTACCACTATCCCCTGGTCTGGGCCCCTGTATTCATCACCTATTATCCACAGCCTAGATTTTCCTTTGACCTTCCCACAATGTTGTCTCTGTCAGGCGGGGTGGCGGAGGGGAAAGAATACATCCCTATCAACCTGCTCGCTGCTGGGCTGGGGGCTTAGTTGTGCTGTTGGGTCTGGGCTCTCCAGGAGCCAGTGGGGCTTGATAAAACTTTGGTGAGAATTTCCTGCTGCTCCCTATATGCCTCTGCAGGGGAGGAAGAGGACAGACACTTGGAACTCAAATAAGGGCAAAGGGTAGAGAGGCCCGTGTATGCTCCTGGGTATGTTTCTCAAAGCAGCCTCAGGGAGCTGTGCCTGAGGAGCAGGAAGGGGCCTGGCTCCCCCAGGTTGTCTGGATGTCTGAGAACACAGCCTATCTGCACTAGCCACAGGGAGGCATGAACACGTTTTGGGAGAGACTACCCTGTGGGTGTCCCTGCTTCAAGTGCCTGCATCCCCCTCCCCACTCCCTAGAGTAGCTAGAGGTGCTGCCTTGCCCCATGTCAGCCAACAGGGAGCAGAGGGTGGAGGGTTGGGGCAGCGTTCAGGGGCTGAGTGGGCTATGGTCCTGTGGAGGGAAAGTGGGGGGGGGGGTCAGAGAGCCTCCTGGCTGGCAGTTAGGAACTCTTCCGCCCGCTTGTGCGCCTCCAAAGCCTTGATGGTGTACACATCCTGGGGCAGCTCTGATTTCCGCCGAAGTAGTACTTTTTCCTTCTTGATGTCTTTCAGCATCTTCATTTGGATAAAGAGAAGGCAAGAAATGAGACCAACTGCCGGGGAAATCGGTTTCCCCTTATTCTGTGGCTCTGCTGCTTCTCTCTCCTCTCCCTTCTAGAGCTGTATGAGGGGGCTTCAAAAAGTTCAATGAAGAATTCCATTGTCTTTTTTAATTCAATTTTTCTATGAATTTTTTGAAGCCCCCCTGTATTTCATTTCTGCCCACTCACTTACCCCCCAATGCCCTCCCACCTGCACAGCCTCTGTTTCCACCGTCCTCTTCAGAAGCTGGATGTCTTCTGCTGTGGGGGTCTCTGTCTCCATTGAGTACACGGGGGGCAGCGGTGGAGGGGCTCGAAACATGGGATACTGAGGAGAAGAGGTCAGATGGGGAGGGTCCTTCAGATGCCTGACCACTTACCTCCTGTTCCACCTCAAACCAATCCTTCCCCAGCCTAAAATGGGCCTGTCAGATCAAGGCTATAGTTGGAAAAACCTCACCTGGGGATTAAGCCGGGCCAGCTCCTCAATCTTATGCCACATCTCTTCCCTCTCCTTCATTCGAAACCGGCCCCTGAGGGAGCAGTACCAAGAGTAAAGGTAGAGTTGAGGATGGCTCGAGAGGCATACAGGGAGCTAGCTGAGTGTAGAAGATGGGCCTCCCAGGTGGAGATACTTACTTCTGCTTCTCTGCCTTGTATTGCTGTGTACAGTCATCAAAAAGCTTCTGGTTCATCTCCATAAACAGTTTAAGGGCGTTGTAGATCAGTCCATGGATTGTTCTGCCACCAGGAAGAAAGAACTTGAGGCCCAGATGGCCAGAGCCTATTCTAAGAGATTCCAATTGGGTCTTTGCTAAAAAATTCAAGTTTCCTTCTCTCATTAACCTCGGGGGGGGGGGGGGCATTAGCTCATCTTTGTAGCCAAATCAATCACCTTGTGATTTGAGATGAGCCTTTTAGGATCTATTACAAATATTGGTCCACTCCACCACCCCAGTGCTCCCCGACCTTTATCCTTCCCACCACTTCTTCCTCTCTGGCCCATTCTAATGGAGCTCCCCACAGCATGATGGACTATAGCAGTTTGCTTTAAACAAGACTACCTTTTCAAGCGCCCCACTCCTCCCCAGATACTTTCCACATGGAATTACATCTCCAAAATTGTGATGTGGCCTATTCCCACCCTCCAAGGTTCCACAATCAGACTCCCACTTCCCAGCTCCAGCCCAGCTCCCTACTTATTCCAGTGGCTCTTGGAGTTCCTGTAGAGTGCAGGGAACATGATGGGGAGGACCCGGGCAGCATTGTCACTTATGAGGCTCATGATGTACTCGTTGTTCCAGTAATAGAGGGCACGCTCTGCCACCTGGTGGGGAGAGGCAAGACTCAGCAAGGGTGTTACTAGTTTCTCTGAAGACCCACCCTCTCCTCAGTTGCTGGAATACTGCATCTCACCTGGAAATGGGGGCTGGAGACACATTTGGCAAGCTGGCGGAAAAGCGGTTCCATCACTTTGCTGAACTCTGAAGGTTCAATGACGTCCAGAATCTCCTCCAGCTCATTCAGGAACATCACTTCCTTGGGGCTGTGGGTCTTGGGCCAGAACTTGAGAAGTCCCACAATCACCTGGAAGGAGAGGACACAGGGATGCGATTCTCACTCAGTACCTGCTTCACTGTTCTCTAGGAAGCTGCCTTGCCCCCTCCCCTGCCCTGGTGGGCACAGCTTGGTGGCCTCAGCTAACTAACTGCCCATGTTTCTCTGGCTTGGATCTGCTCCACTTCTTCAGAGAGGAAAGCATGTCACCTGTCAGGCCACAACCCTCCTGAGGGCCCTGTATGGCACTGTTTAATAGGTCTAGACTGGCAGGTGGTGCTGGGCATGGCAGAGGAATTACCGGCTCCGTCAGACTGCTCTCCTTCTCCAGAAACTGTACCACACAGTATGCCAGCTGCAAAAGGTTGAGGTAGAGGAGAGGTAAGGGGCAGGTCCCAAATGTCTCAGGTCAGTCACAGAACAGAAAGGAGGTCTAAGGGAATGGTTAATCCACCACTCCCTCTGCCACCCTATCTCTTCCTCCTTCCCTTCCTCCTCTCTGTGGCTTGAGTCATGTGTCCTTAGGAGGAAGGGGCTCACCTGAGGATGGTAGACACTCAGGGACTTGACTTTGTGAAGGGGAAGCAGGACACGGATAAGGAACATCTTATGCTCTTCTTTAAGAGGCAGGGCAAAGCCATTGATGATGCTGAGAGTTAAGGGATGCTTGTTAGGACCAAAGGGCCAGGCCAAGTTCAGTCTGTCAAGCCTCCCAGCTGTTTTCAGGCCCGTACCCCTACTCCCCTTCTCACCTGCCCAGGATCTCCAAGAGCTCAGCAATCCCATTGTGATGCTCTGTCTCATAGATGAACCTGAGGGGTGAGAAGGGCTCCCTTGAAGTGCCCCCAACACTCCACTGCTGGCAGAGTCTCCACTAGCTCCCTTCTCCCACCCAACCTGAGGAGGGCTGGCTTTGCTCTTAAATCTGGGCTCCTGACCTCACCTGTAGAAGATGTGATTAATTTGCCTGCGGATATAGGCCCGGAGCCCCAAAAATTTGCCATATATGCGATGCAAGATGGTCTTGAGGAAGTCCCGCTCTCGAGGATCCTCACTGTCAAAGAGGTCCAGGAGCTGGAGGGAAAGCGGGGGAAGTGAGGCAGGAGCCTAGGAAAGCTGGGGGTGGGGGGCAGGGCCCTAGCCAGGGGAAGCCCACGGGCTGTGGGCAAGCCTCTGGAAAGCAGAGTGGTTCTACCCAAGGTGACATCTAGGTGAACATGTTTATATACCCCAGTGAGAGGAGAGCGGTCCTGTGGGGCTTTTTTGTTTCCTTCCATTTATCTATGAGCTTAAGGGCACAAAGTAGGTCTTGTTAATCCTTTATAGTCTTCCCTGTTCCAGACAAAGCTGGAACCCTATATGTTCAGCACAAGAAGAAAGAGCAACTGGCAGAAGGACTGGAGGGCATGGGACTAGAATTCATGGGATGGAAAGAGAAGGGACAAGAACTTGAACTCACAGCAAGGACAAACTTCTGGTCAATGTACTTCTTGGCTATGTTTGGCTGGAAATCAGGAGACTCAAGGAAACGTAAGAAAAACTCGTACACGAGCTGTCGGGGGAAGGAGCAACAACTTAGGGGAATTCTCCAAGACTGGGAGACATCCCCCTTGCTGCAAGTCTGAGGACCCCACTTTCTTATAGCTAGGGCCAGCCTGCTCCTTCCCCTAGCCCTGCCTGGGTACCTGGAGATGGGGCCAGGCTGCCTCAAGGGTGGGCTCATCCTCTTCAGGGTCAAACTCAGCCCCCGTGGGATTTGATGAAGGTGGCAGTGTCCGGAAGAGGTTTACTGAAAACTGAGGGGTAAGGGCCCATGTTAGATCTCTGTCCAGGTATCTCCAGAGCCCCCACCCCTGCCTCCTCTTCCCTTTCCCACCATGGTGACAGCCTCAGGGTAAATGGCCTCAGTGACCACATCGCGGCTATGGGTGATGTACTCCACCATCTCGTTGAGTCCTGCCCGCTTCACCTCCTTGAACTTGAGGTCACTGAGTGGGTCTGACACAAAGTCAAAGAGAACACAGCACTGGCGTAGCTTCTGGATGAAAAGCTCTTCCCGCTCCTGGGTTGGCGAATCTGGAGGGGGCAACAGTCATGTTCGTTCACCTTCCCAGCTCCTCATTGTAATGCCCCACATTCCTTACTGGACTTTTCCTCAGCCCACCCTGCTGCTGTCTTGCTGGGGAACTCCACAGCCCCTCTAGAACCACCTTTCATCATCTCTAGAACTAGTAACTCCTAAACCAACCACAAATGTCTTTTGGCCCAGTGCACCAACCTCCTTGCCCCTCCCACACACCTTTCAGGGCAGGAAGCTTCTGCAGCTCCCGGTTTTTGCTGAGGTTGAAGCGGGAAGAGCTTTGCCGGCGTTCCTTCTTGACAATCTGGGGCCCCCCTGAGTACTTGATTTTGCTGAGCTGTGTGGGGGGTGGTGTGCTGTTGCTGGGACGCTTGTTGGATGGTGGGGGCTGGGACTGGGGCTGAGGCTGTGTCTGCACCTGTGGCTGGGCCTAGTCAAACAAAGCATGAGTTAAAGTCCATCCCCCAGGATACTGCTTCCCACCCTGGACCTGGGCCACCCCCAACCACCCAGGAAGCTGATGCCTGTATAGGGTTGGGCAGAGAGCAGCTAGCTCCTGCTACGAAGGAGCCAGGGTCACACTGGTAACTATGGGTTATACCCTGAGAAGGGACTGGTCAGAAGTCATGTGTCTCTAATTGATACCCACAACCTGTGCATCAAGAACCTTCACAATGTTCATTCTAGTTCAAGTGTATACAAAACTTAGAAAGAAATCAGAAAAGAAGTTACCTGGCTAGAGGCAGGGGGCAGGGGGACAGGGTATCTGTCAGAGGCTGAGAAGGGGCATGAGGAGCCTCCAGGGTAATGGAAACATTTTCCATCTCGACTGGATCTGGGAAATGAGCTCTGGTAGCGTAGTGGTTACAAATTGGGCTGTGAACCACAAGGTCAGCAGTTTGAAACTACCAGCCGTTCTGCAGGAGAAAAGATGAGGCTTTCTGCTCCCGTAAAGATTTATAGCCTCGGAAACCCTGTACATGGTCACTATGAACGGACTCCACAGCACATAACCACCAACCACCACTTGATCTGGGAGGTAGTTAGAGGACTTGTACATACACAGAAAGGGACTTCAAAAAGTTTGTGGAAAACTATTATCTTTTAATTCCATTTTCCCACAAACCTTTTGAATCCCCCTAAAAATTTGAAAAAATACATTTAAGATAACTTAATTACTTGACTGCTAACCAAAGGTTGGCAATTTGAACTTCGGTCCCACTCAATGTCAAATTGACAGAACCACAGTACTTTACTGTGTGTGTGACATCAGACACTTAAAAGGCAAAGAAAAAAACCATTACCACACCACACCTCAGCAGTTAACTGCTAGAAATTCAGCCTAAGAAAAATCTTAAATATATAAAAAGCTTTGTGTAGCAAGCATTTTTCAGACTTACTTGTGACAGAAAAAATTTGTTTTAAATAAATGGACTATCATAGAGTTAAAATTAGGTCTGTGTAAACTATGTGATAAACATAATCAGACACAGTTCAGTTGTAAAAAATGGCCATAGCAATTTATCTAAAACTGGTGATGAGTTTTTTGGGAAGAGGGGTAAAAGAGAGCTGAGGCCTTAACTTTCTATAGGAGAAAGTCAAAAGGTGATATCTCAAATCTTAAAAAAAAAAAAAAGGCAGTAAAAGAATCTGTAGAAAGTGGTTGCCATAGAAATGGGGGGTGCTCAGCTTGCTCTTTTCTTGACAAACCTAATAATTACCGTGTGACTTTCTGAACTATGCACGTTATTACTCTGATAAAAGTGCACAAATAATAACAAAAACTTGGGCAATGATTATGGATGATGGTTGTACAACATTGATTAATGTAATTGCTATCACTAAGTGTTGTGTTATGTATATAATTTATCCCCCTACAACAATATCTTTAAAAAAGGTGTTTGTTTTTTTTTATTCCAGATTATAAAATAGAAACACTAAAACTATATAATGATAAAAAACTGCTTCCTACATTAGGTCAAATAAAGACAATACAAAGCTGTACGAGGGGGCTTCAAACAGTTCATGAACGAATTCCAGTATCTTTTCATTCTACTTTTCCATGAATTTTTGAAACCACCTCATATATACAGAATGAGCTCAATGAACTCAAGTACATGAAAGTACATGCACAGAACCAAAGCCAAGGAAAAGGACAGGAGGCAGCCCAGCATGTGTTAAATGACCATCTCTGGTAGTACAATTAGGGATTTTTTTTTCTTTCTACTTCTCTAAATTTTACACAAGCTAAGACTGCTTTTATAATGGGATAAATAAAACTAATTTTAAAGCTACTCCTTTACTTCCTCCTAGATGTGGGTGTCAAAGCCCCATAAATTCCATTTTCAGAAGTTCTGGTGTGGTGTTGTAGGATAAATCACTGGACTACTAACCAGTAGGTCTTCAATTCAAACCCACCAGTCGCTCTCGGAAACCCTGTACAAGATCACTATGAATAGAAATTGATTCACCGGCACTTAACAATAACACATAGGTGTATGCAAACACATCTACCTAACTTGGACAGTCCAGGTGAGGAGAAGAGAGACACGGAGTCACAGGACAGGATTTGTCCCCAATCAGAGACTAGAGTTAGACCAAAGGAGCCAGACTGTGTCCAGTCTGTGTAGCTTTGTGTAGCAAGCATTTGTGGAAACTAGTCCACAAATCTACTATCCCTGCTTGCTCTACAGTCCCCGCCCCAACCTCAGACTTACCTTGCTGTATGTTAGGTATGTTTTGAGTCGATTTTTGACTCAGAGCAACCCCATTTGACACAATAGAACTGCTCTATATTTCTAGGTAGTAATCTTTATGGAAACAGACTGCCAGGTCTTTCTTCGGTGGAGCCACTGAGTGGGTTCAAATTGCCACCCTTTGGGTTAGCAGCTGAGCTCTTAACCAAGCTCTTAACTACTGTGCCATCAAGGCTCTTTCGACTTATCTTACTCCTTACTGTTAGACCACAGAATGTGTGCTGCTCTGGGACGGGGCAAGGAAAGAAGGCAGAGATTTTATTCTTTGGCTACATGAGATTTTATAAAACTCATTATTTTGAACTCATGAGTTATTTTGGCTCAGAGAGCAGGAGAGGAGAACTGAGTCCAGCCCAGGACAGTCCTGTGGCTCCAGCAGAGCTCAGTGTAGCTCCACTTGGGCTGTGTCTCCTTCTACTCTCCTGAAATGAACCCAGATGTTGATACGACTGGGGGAATGCAAAAAGTGGACCAAAAACAGCTACCAATGCCTTTCTTGCTCAGTGCTCTGCCAGGGTGATCTTGGTTAGACAAGCAGGGTGCCCTGGAGTTGAGGGGGGCAGGGGGGATGACGACAGTATCCCTGACAGATTGATCACTTTGGAGTGAGGAGGGATAGCAGATGATTGAAGGGCCAGAGCCTGGTGTGCACCTAGACCCTCCTCTGCCATGGGCCTCCACTTTTCTGCCTTAAAAACAACCAAACCCTTATCCCTGGAGCTCAGTAGTCAAGCATACAAACAAACCAACAACCTGGGTTCAACTCCTGGCTCCTAGATGAATGCCTACCAGAAAGTCATATAACTTCTCTGGGCCTGAGTTTCCTCAGTAAAACGGGAATGATAATAGCACCTTCCTCGTAGGGCTTATATATAAGGATTTGTATCTATTTAATAAGGATTTTTATATATTTATACAGAGTGCTTCCTAAGAGGTATCTATAACTTTTCCTCCCCTCACTCCTAGATTCTAGGAATGCAGCCTAGAAATTCCTGGAACAAGCATACCTCAAATGCTCCTTCAGTCCATTCTCTTTTTTTTTTTTTTAAATATCCGGGGACCCGGGAAAGCACTGCTTCTTTTAAGTCCCAGCTTAACTCCTACTTTCTTCCAAAAAAAAAAAGCCTCTGTTACTCCCAGTCTTTGGGTGTCTCCCCTCCTCCAACCTCCTGATACTCTTTGTCTGTTCTCTTGGCTCTGTGATAACTCCTGCTCCAATATTTATCTGCCACCCTCTGTCCCCCAACTAGATAACAAGCCCCTTGAAAGTCAGAACCCTGGTTTATTCTACTTTGGGGTGTCTCTCTCTCTCACACACACACACACACCATCCCCCTTTACACACCCTGGCACATAGCAGACATTCAATGCATGTTTGATTGGTTGATTGATAGACCTCATGTTTGATTGGTTGATTGATAGACCTCTCCCCACAAGCCCTTGCTCTCCTGTCTGGACCTCAGGGACCCTCAGAACAGAGCACTGCACAGTCAGCAGCAGAGTGAGAAAGGAGAAACATTAGCAGAAGGGTGGTGTACTGGTTAAGTGCTCAGCTGCTAACCACAACGCTGACAGTTCAGACCTAGTTGTGTGTGAGAAAGACCTAGCGATTTGCTCCCATCCCGAGTTGTTGTTGTTGTTATGTGCCATGGAGTTGGTTCCGACTCATAACAATCCTGTACAGGGTTTCCAAGGCTGCAAATCTTTATAGGAGCAGAAAACCTCATCTTTCTCCCGCAGAACATTTGGTAATTTCGAACTGCTGACCCTGAGGTTCACAGCCCAATTTGTACCCACTACGCTACCAGAGCTTCTTCCCATCCTGAGTACAGTCCAGGAAACCCTATCGAGCAGTTCTATTCTGTCACAAAAGTTGACTCACCAGAATCCAACAACAGTGAGGAGCTCAGTGCCAGCCTGGGAAGCAAAACTCTAAGGGAGAACACATCTCCCACAGATAAGATGTAAACTCTTTGCACCTCTAGAAAGCTTATTATAAAGGAACTTCAAGAAAAAAGAGGCATTCTTCCCCCAGAAGGAAAAGCAAGGTCTCGGTTTTCTCCTAACAAGGAAAGGGCTGGACTAGATTGGTGGTTTCTCAACCATTCACTAAATAAAAGTTTCAAGCGAATCAAGAGTCGCATGGCTAAAAAACGAACTTTATAAACACCAGTCAAAGAGTTGATGCTGTAAGTCCGTTCCACACTAGGGTTCTGCTATTGAAGGCTGGAATGACCAGAAAACAGCTGTGTGGTTTACTCTGCTCTGCTAGGCCATCCTAGGTTGTTTGTGCATGTTTTTATTTTCACCCTGGTTTTATAAGGACCATTGTCTCCCAGGCTCCAGACACAAGAAGCATGAGAGACAGCTGGCCCTGCCAGCAAAGTCCCTGGCTGCCAAACCCTGATAAGGTGTCCCCTGGGTCTGTTCGTCTGTCTCTAGGAAACATGCTCATCAGAAGGGATATATGGGGAGATGCCAACAACTTGTCTTGCTTTTTGTCAACCCTTCCTCCTAAAAGTTTCAGCTTCTAACTTCGCCATTGACCTGGGCGGGACAGGGGGTGGGAAGCAAATAAGTCCCCCAGAGAACCTTCCACTGGCACTGAAACAGGAGTGGACACTGACCCAAGGCACCCTGACAAAACTGCCCTCTGTTCCCACCTCTGAGACTG